TGAGCAAAAACAACAATGCTGGAGGCACCATGCTATCTGACTTCAAAATATTAATATATTACTATACAAGGCCACAGTAACCAAAACAGCATGGTATTATCATAAAAACAGACACATAGACCAGTGTGTCAGAACAAAGAACCTGTAAAATAAATCCACCTACTTACAGCCACTGACTTTCAACAAAGGTACCAAGAACACACATTTTGGAAAAGACACCCTCTTCAAAAAATGGTGCTGGAAAACTGGATACCCATATGCAGAAGAAAGAAATTGAAACCCTATCTCACTATATACAAAAATTAACTCAAGATGGATTAATGACTGAAACATAAGACCCAAAACTATAAAACTACTAGGAGAAAACATAGGGGAAACACTTCATGAGATTGGTCTAGGCAAAGATTTTATGGCTAAGACCTCAAAAGCACAGGCAACAAAAACATAAACATAAATAGACCAATGGGACATATTAAACTAAAAAGCTTCTGCACACATACATAGCAAAGGAAATAATGAACAGAGTGAAGACATGATCTATTGAATGGGAAAAAATATTTGCAGAGTATTCCTCCAACAAAGGACTAACATCCAGAAAACAACTCAATAGTTAAAAAAAAAAAATCCCACTAAAAAGTGAGGAAAAGGCCGGGCGCGGTGGCTCACGCCTGCAATCCTAGCACTCTGGGAGGCCGAGGCGGGTGGATCGCTCAAGGTCAGGAGTTCTAGACCAGCCTGAGCAAGAGACCCCATCTCTACCAAAAAATAGAAAGAAATTATCTGGACAACTAAAAATATATAGAGAGAGAAAAAATTAGCCGGGTATGGTGGCGCATGCCTGTAGTTCCAGCTACTCAGGAGGCTGAGGCAGAAGGATTGCTTGAGCCCAGGAGTTCAAGGTTGCTGTGAACTAGGCTGACGCCATGGCACTCACTCTAGCCAGGGCAACAAAGCGAGACTCTGTCTCAAAAAAAAAAAAAAAAAAAAAAAAAAGTGAGGAAAAGACATGCATAGACATTTCTCAGAAGACATAAAAATGGTCAACAAGTATATGAAAAAATGCTGAACATCACTAATAATCGATGAAATGCAATCAAAACCACAATGAGCTATCATCTTACCTTAGAATGGCTATTATTAAAAAGACAAATAGGCCAGGTGCAGTGGCTCAATGCCTGTAATGCTAGCACTCTGGGAAGCCAAGGCAGGTGGATCGTTTGAGCTCAGGAGATCGATACCAACCTGAGCAAGAGCGAGACCTCATCTCTACTAAAAATAGAAAGAAATTAGCTGGACAACTAAAAATATACAGAAAAATTATCCAGGCATGGTGGCGAATGCCTCCCAGCTACACGGGAGGATGAGGCAGGAGGATCGCTTGAGCCCAGGAGTTTGAGGTTGCTGTGAGCTAGGCTGATGCCACAGCACTGTAACCCGGGCAATAGAGTGAGACCCTGTCTCGGGAAAAAAAAAAAAAAAAAAGACAAATAATAATAGATGCTGGCAAAGATGCAAAGAACAGGAACTCTTAAACTCTTATACATTCTTGGTGGAAATACACATTAGTACAGCTACTATGAAAAACAGTAAGGAGATTTCACACAACAGTAAAAATAGGACTTCCACAGGAGCTAGCAATCCCACTATTGGGCATTGGTCCAAAGGAAGGGAAATCAATATATCAAAGGCATACCTGAACCTTCATGATTATTGCAGCACTATTCACAATAGCAAAGATATGGAATCAACGTTAGTGCCCATCAACAGATGAATGGAGAAAGAAAATGTGGTATGTATGCACAATGGAATACTCTTCGGCCATAAAAGAGAATAAAATCCTGTCATTTGCAGCAACATGAATGGAACTGGAGGTCATCATGTTAAGTGAAATAAGCCACGCAAAGAAAGACAAATATCACATGTTCTCACTCATATGTGGGAGCTAAAATGATCTCATGGACGTAGAGAGTAAAATAGTAGTTATCAGAAACTGAGAAGGGTGTCGGGGTCAGGAGGATGTAGAAAGGTTGGTTAATTGGTACAAACATATAGTTAGATAGAAGAAATAAGTTCTAACGCTCCACAGCAAAGTAGGGTAACTAGAGTTAACAACAAGGTATTGTATATTTTAAAACAGCTAGAACAGAGGATTTGAAATATTCCCAGCACACAGAAATGATAAACATTCGAGGTGATGGATACCATAAATATCCTGATTTGATTATACATTTTATGCATGTAATAAAATATCATGTGTACCCCACAAATATGTACAGATATCATATATAAATAAAAAATAAAATAAATAAAGTCAGATTTCCATACCTGTGGGTTCTGAATCTGCAACCAAATGCAGATCCAAAATATAGTATTGTGAAAATGCAAGGATAAGGAGGGCCAATCTCTAATATATGTGAGTTCCACTGCACCAACTGCCGAACTTGAGTGTGAATGGATTTTAGTATCCGAGGGGGTCCTGGAACCAATCCCCCATCGATACTGAGGGATGATTGTATTTTTTATTGGAAAGGGATACCTTCAGTACTGAAACAATGGAATTGAATTAGGGGGAAAATATATAAAAGGAAAAAAAGAATCACAGCTGAAATCTCTCAAAAACAAGTGAAACGCCAACAAATAACATTTTATGACTTTCCCTTTTTCCTCTTTTCATAGGTTACTGGTCAGAGTTTGACACTATAAAAATTTCACACTGAAGTTCCTCTGCCTGGAAAGGTAACCTTCTTCACATAAGTCAACTGTTTCTGATCTGTTTTGAAGTGATCATCTCTGGGAACCCTTCTATCACTGCTACCATTATCATCATCATTATGGGAGCCAGAATTTACGTGCTACTATTTCAAAGACCATTGTATTATCACATGTAAACACCCTATGATGTTGCTGTTCCATCACTTCCAACTTCAAAGGCACCTTAGCATGCCTTGTATTTGCCCCTTATGGATTACTTCAATCAGAGGACATATTACACTGAACAAAAGTCACCTGTTTACTGCTAGTGTCCTCATTAGACTGTAAGATCCTTAAGGTTCGAAATTTTAGTTTACCACATCATCCCCAGAAACTAGTACTGTGTCTGGGATATAGTAGCCATTCAGTAAATATTTGATAAATGAATGAATGCCAATGTTCCTATTGCACTCTACAGAATATGTTTTAAAGCACACTTAAAGATAGTACCTTCGCTAGGTATAAACTTAAAATTTACAAAATCTAAATAAGAAAAAACAACACGTGCTCTTCAAAACCACAACAGCAGATATGGAACAAACAAAAGTCTTATTACGTTGTTGGACAAAAATGACTTATCACAAATGTGTCAATTTTCCCTAATTTGTAAAGCTTACATAATTTCAATGAAAATACAATCAGTTTTTTTCCTTGAAACTAGACAAGTTAATTGTAAATACCTTTTAGAAAAATGATAAGAATAGCCATGAAAGCTCTGACAAAAAATGGCCAAGAGGAAGGAACTAGCTGTAACAAGTATTAAAGGATATTTTGAAGCCTGTTTTAATTAAATTAGTGCAGTGCTGGGGTAGGAATAAACAAACCAACAGAAAAGAATAGAAAAACTAAAACTATACCCCTGCGTGAATGAAATTTTCTACCTGAATGCACCAATCTTACGGTAACAACCAGACACCAAATGACACTCCTCACATGATACAATAAGACGTGCAAAGTACCACCTATAAAATATACTCATTGTAAAAATTAAACCTGAATTTAATCAAGCCTCTATATCTACCAGTTTTTTTAATTGAGTAAAAAAGAAATATATAAAATAATATCATAAGGATACAATCAGCCAACTCCAACACTTAGATTGCAGTCTGTTAAAAACCTTGAAGCATAAGACCCAAATAAGCTGCCCCCAGATTCCTGACCCACAAAACATACAAAACCATAACTTAAATGTTTTAAGTTTAAGCTAAATTTCAGTATAACTTGGTACAAGACAATCTTTTTATCAAACGTGAAAGAGCAGGGCTTCCAGGTGTTCACTTCCGGTGAAGCTGTAACCTCTGATGTAGCATTACTGTTTTGTTTATGTCTAATAGCAAGAAATTTTTATCACAGGTTTTTCAAAAGTGTAAAACCATTACCAAAATAGCCAGGAAGTATAACACAGATTTATAATCTCCCAAAAGTTGTCTGAAATGTTTTTTACTACTACCCAAGAAGTAGTGGCAAAGTGTGGCAAATCTCCTTAACATCATTTCTAAAGTGTGTTTTCTAAAAATTATTTCATGGGATATTAGTAGTTATTATAAGATAAAATATTTCTGTGGTCAAATAAATTAGGAGACTATGCAGAGTTAAACAAAATTATGTTTTCATTCATTGTAGTACAAATTATCAAAATACATGAGAACTTTTAGAGTCTGATCATTATACTTTTCTAGACTCATTCACTGTCATACTTAACCTCTTAATATCTAGTCATACTGGATTCCCCCTTTCTCTGAAGAACCCAAATCAGCTTTCCCCAAATTACTTTCTTAATACTCTATTTATTGGCTATTGCTACAATCTTTGTAACCTCAGCACCTGGTACAATTCCTGGTACAGAATACCTACTCAAAATATAAAAACATATATGAATGAGAAAACAATCTCAACAACATACTTAAATGACAAAGAAATGATACAGTTAAGTAGTTATTTAAAAAATTTATAATAAGACATTAATTTTAATATAACATGATCTTGAAATGTATAGTAAATAATATTTTTCCTTATTTATATAAATAATAGATTATTTATATATCTGTGCAACCAACATACAATCCAGTAGTATTAAATTAGTTATCTGGCAGTGGTGTAGGTAGGGCACTTGAATTTTTTTTCAGTAATTCTTTATTGCCAATTGTATTTTGGATCCTTACAAAAACTAGAGGAAATTTTCAGTCAAATACTTAAGGTTACATTACTGTGTATGTTTCAAACCACTGTATGACAAAAAGATCACATACCAAATGAAACTGATCCACTTTTGGGATTCCATCTTCATTTGTCTCAAACTCCTGATTTTGAACAGAAAGCTGCAAAAGAAAATAAGAATAAATTCCCAATGTCTCAAAATTTTGATCCTATAAAAGAATCAAATCAGGAACTTCAGATCCTGGTAAGTAGAGAAGAGCTCACTTAAAGAAAGCACATTAACTAACTCTTGCAGGGTAAAAACACTTTCATAATAATTACTTTTCATGAGCAACCAAATGGTTTCTGGGGTTCGTAAAGTATCAGTCAGAGGTGATATACACACTATAAACACTTCAGTATTTCCTTATAAGTAAATGTGTTAAAACTTAGTAGAACTAACAACTGATAAAAGAAAATACTTTTCAACCACAAATTCTATATCCAATGGAACTATCCATCAGGAATGAAGGTGAAATAAAGATGTTATCAGATAAAGAAAAACTAAAAGAATTTGTCACTAGAAATGATACAGTCTTAAAGAATGGCTAAAGGAAGTACTTCAAACAAAAAGGACACGGTAAAAAAAAGTCCTGAAGCATTAGGAAGGAAGAAATAAAAATGGAAAGAATAGAAACATGGGTAAATACTGAAAATTGTCCTTCTTATCATGAGTTTTCTAATCACATACAATGATTCAAACCAAATTAGAATACCATCTGATACTCAAGACCATGATTTAGAAGTGGGGAGAGTAAAGGAACCTAATATAGGGAATGAAGTTTCTATATTTCACTCAGAGTGGTAAAATGCTGATACTGTAATATGCATATCCACTAAGAAAACTCTGGAAGGTGATACACTCAAAAAACACCATAAACTTTTCCATTTTCTTCCTACTCCCTGCAAGTGCCACTCTGGTTGCACCACATTTGCTCCAATATCCAGGTTTTTGCCGTAAGTGCTGTTGTCATCTCCCTCCAGCCACCATCATGATTATCTCTGGCGTTTACAAGATCTGGGTGATTGCAAACAGGCTGTGCCTGGAGGTGTAAGGGAAGACTGTCAGTAGGACAGAGGATAACACATATGACTTGCTCACTGGTGGAAATACTTCTACTAAAGACCCTGAGGGTGAACGTACTGAAAGCGCAGTAATTGCTGGTGTTGATACCATGAACTACCACTTGCAGGAAACCAGCTTCACAAAAGAAGCCTATAAGAAGTACATCAAAGATTATATCAAATAAATCAAAAGCAAATTGAAGAACAAAGACTAGAAAGAGTAAAACATTTTATGATAGGAGCTGCAGAACAACTCAAGAACATTCTGGCTATTGTAAAAAACTACCAGTTCTTTACTGATAAAAACTTGACTCAAGATAGCCCAGCTGCTCTGCTGAACTACCGTGAAGACACAGTGTGACCCCAAATGATATTTTCTTTAAGGATGGTTTACACATGGGAAAATATTAACAAATTTGGGAATTATTTTGGATCTATCATCTGTCATCATAATTGGCTGCTGCTTGTCATCCACATATATCAGAACTTAAGACAAATGGAAGTGACATCTTCTTGAACTCTTCATTTATTTTAATCATGATTTATTTGGAATAG